TCTTGTTACTCTTCTTGGTACTCTTGATCATCTAGAGATCTAAAGTCATGTGGCTATCCAATGGTTGAAAATAATTTGGGGTTCTTTACAACAAAATTAAACTAGGAATAATGTAACAATATGTGAGATTACTACTAATTAGTTCTTGTTCTAAAACAACATCATAACATCTATATGGCTATTATTGCTACTTGTATAACTCTTCAACACTCCTAACAACCCCATTTGAATCAAACCCTTTATTTTAGTTTGCAATTATGTACCTATATATCTCAGATTTTTATTTATATGTTACATAAAATTAGTTAGTTTTAAGTTTCCATACAGCTTTTAGCAGTGCGATCAAGGTTTGCACAAGTCCGATTCACCGGTTCACTAAACAGAAATATAGAGATCCAGAAATAAAAAAGCTATCAGACAATTTTAAAAAAATATAATTCGGAAAGAATATATTCACTTCTAAATAACGAACTTAATAAATGATTTACATCATAAAATAATTACCTAATTTTGAATCAAAATGGTCTTAAACTTACATAATTACTTCACAAACACTGATCAAATACTCTAATGAAGTGGATCTATTTGTTCCCTAAATTCCCTTAGTTGTCACTCTAAAGAATGACAACTAAGAAAATTTCAGAGAAACACTCTAAAGATGGCTTTTATTAAGTGAATGAACTCGATCCAGAAACGAAAGACTAAAGGGAAAACATGTAAGAATAATATATAACGGAGAAAGAGAAGATGCGAGAGTCATCTTACGGCCAACGAACGGTAGGGTTGGAATTTTCGACGATTGAATTCATCTTCATGCATCCAAATTAATTGGAGAAGGGATCCTTGAAACGTTTAAGAAGTTGAAAAAAATGAAATGAAGAAGCGGGTGATTAAATGCCGGGAGTTACTACATTAAATATTTTTAAGGCCACGAAACTTATCGAGAGGAGATGACGGGCAAAAACGGAGGCAGCAAGACGTTGAAGAATTTCAGAAGAATGAATTAATTGGAGGAGAAACCTACTGGACGGCGAGTGGCAATCAGATAGGCAAGCTGAAGACTATGGAGAAGGTCGAAGACAAGCGTCGCATATTAAGTAAGGGTTTAGACTTGCCAGAAAGAAGTTAATATATGCATAAAAACGTGCTAATTTAAAAATTAAGTGCAAAAGGTGATAAAGGAATAGGGAAACATACTTAGGGAATCTAAAGAGACTTAAATAAAATGAGTTATTAATGATAATTTTTTTAATTATTAAAACATGCAGTGAAAGATTAGAAATGAGAAAACATAACTTAGGATCCTCTGGGGTAGTATAAATTAAATGAGTTTTATATAATGTGAATTTTTTGATTTATTTAAATATTTTATATAGAATGGAACGGCCAAGATAATTAAAAATAAGTAGAAATGAATGAACAAGATTTCCGAGAGGAAGGAAACTCAAGCCCCTTTTATAATAGTAGTATAGATTTTTTTTGATTTATTAAAACATGCAATGAAGATTAGAAATAGGAAAACATAACTTAGGAATCTCTGGGGGCAAAATAAATTAAATGAGTTTTATATAAT